TGATTTTAACAAGTTCAATAAAAGAAACATTTTAAAGCCGCAGGCAAACTGATCTATCCTTGTATATTTCTTTTTAATTGAGTTAGATGAAAATCCAAAATACAAATCCTTTCAACATCAAGCAGGCTTGAGTATTATCTAGATTATGTTTTATATAAAAAAAAAATAGCATTTAACTCTTCAACGTGATTCTGGAAACGGATAGACAATTTATGAATATGACGAAGACATAATCTTTCAATCAGTTTAATTGAAGTGTGGAGCTGGCATGTCAGTTATTGCTAGTAGTCCTTTAGTTAATTTATCATGTATCATTGTCATTTTGCTTAGTGTTTTTTGTTATCTATTCTGACATCGGACTCGGACTTCTTTTAAACTGAGTTTTACTGTGCGTATTGCTGTGTTTTGTTTATTCTACATAGGCTAGAGGTATAGAGGGAGGGTTGAAATCTCATAAAACATATAAATAAAAGCTACAGAAAGGCAATATCATAAATATGACAAGATGTACATTACTGTCAATTTTAGATTTTATTTGATATGGGTAGGTCACATGTATTCGATATTGACATTGTATAAGCCAGATGTATACTCCATGCTGAATTTTATTTGATCTAGGTAACACGTAAAATCATTAACACCTGTGGATTAAATTGTAATATTTTCCTGTCCTCTAGGAACATAAAATTTACATAATTCACTACCCTTAATTAGACATAGATATCTACGGAAGCGTATTAGCGCCACGCGTTTTTTTTTTTATATTTCTTCCTATGTTTGCGTTATAACGCAAACCTTTGCGAAATAACGCAAACCTTTGCGTTATAACGCAAACATTTGCGTTATAACGCAAACATTTTGATTTTAATTATTCATTAAGTTTTGAATATTTAATAATAAAAAACTATATATAATATTAAATTTACATCTTATGTTTATTATATAATTTGAAAGCAGTGTTTTGTAAATGTCGGCATTTGCATGTCCGTCTGTCATCAAATTTCGGTTGTGATTTAGTTAAGAGAAGAACCATGAAGGTCAAATCATTATAATAAATATGCATAGAAATAAAGGAATACTTGAAGTGCAATTATACACAAATAAATAAATGGTTTATGCATCAGAAGATTATATAAATTTAACAAGTAAATAGATATGGTATAGGCAAATTTTAATTGAAAGGCCAAGATTTTGAAAATTTTGAATAACGGAAAGTGGTAAACTAGATAAGAGCAAAAATAATGTCATACAATTGTGAAACTATAAGTCAAATAGACGAAATGATCTTTCTGCTTTAAAATTTATTATTCAGAAAAAAATTCTTTTTAAATTTTGATGTAAGAAATCGTTTGTTAAAATCTCAGAATATGATAAAGATTCTTTAAAAAAAGTCATTGAATTTTAATTTCAATCTAGTGAGGTAGCTATTTAAGATGCTTGGGTAGCAATTTGAATGTAGAGAACATAATTATAATAAAATAACATCTTCATCTTATACATTTATGGAAAAAGGGTAGCTTGTTTTAAACTTACCAATCTTACACAATGCTCAAACGAGCGCTTACTTTGGAAGTATACTTAAATTCGGCTACACTAGCGGGGTTGATTTTTTATTTTCTTCGGTATAACTTCAATTTACTCAATTTTCTTTGTAATATATATATACATTTATTAATTAACTACACTGTTATTGGACTTAATATGATGAAAACTGCCTATGCAATATAAAGGTGTCAACTCGGCCAATACAGAATAACTCGGCCAATATAGATTTTTTTTCTGTATTGGCCGAGTTCTGATCCGGCCAATACAGGATTTCGGAACGTCTCTAGTTTTTAGATCGAAAGTCACGATAAACACAAACTGAAAGTAAACAGTTGTTTGGAAGACGCAGTTTTCATTTACTCACCATAAACATGCTGAAACGTTCAGTATGGCATATATTTCAGGCTTAAGACGGTCACATTCATTTAAAAAGCATTTTGAAAGCAGACGATGGAATTATTTCAGGTTTGGGAAACGAGTAGATTATCACAAAGTTCATTTCTTGTCGACCTCATAATTTCACGATGGTACAAATCGATTATTATTTTACATGTTTACTTTCGCTTCTCATGTTTTGTAAACTGTCATTTATTTTTAAACCCGAACCAGGCATATGCATTCTGGAAGGGTGACCTGTAATTGTGCAAATCTTCGTTCTTTGGTCAGTTGGCTTATGGATAGTTGTATCATTTTCAACTCCTACATTATTTTTTCAGTTTGTTTCTGCATAACACATGCAATGGCAGTACCTTTCCAATTACTATTTATGTGTTGTGTCTAAATTTAAATTGTAACACTTTATAGTGACTGGAAAGGGTAGAAAAATTCATCAGATGAGAAAATGCTGAAGACACCTGGAAACGACACCAGATCATTAGATAGAGCATCTTATAAAAAGAAACTGAGATTTGGATAGTTCCACTTCAAGGTAAAAATGTTTATCTCTTGTGAAATGAAATAAAAAAAATATTGTAACACTGTAGTTAATTAATAAAGATACTATTACGTGTATTTCTGTATTGGCCTTGTTATTGGTCCTCGGCCAGCTGTATTGGCCTTCGGCTTCGCCTCAGGCCAATACAGCAAGCCTCGGACCAATAACAAGGCCAATACAGAAATACTCACGTAATAATATCATAGTATTATCCTGCTTATTATTATCCCATGATGTGTGCTAAACACTCAAGCATTTTACATTGCAATGAGTACAAAGGGTGATAAATTTTAATATATGCAGCCTCCTCCATTTATAACAGCTGCTTCCTTTGAAACTTAAATAAGAAATAAAATAAAACAAATGTTTGCGTTATTTCGCAAAGGTTTGCGTTATAACGCAAACATAGGAAGAAATATAAAAAAAAAACGCGTGGCGCTAATACGCTTCCGTAGATATCAGTAAATATAACCGCCGACTTTCTCCTTAAAGTTTAGTGGTTTGTACATATATTGAAGGTGTGCATGCGGTCAGGGTTTAATATTTGCTCTTTTGGGAGATAGTTGAAGTTATTTTATAATAACACTTTGCATCTGCGGGGGCATGATTTGTGTCTCCCATACACAATTAAATCTCAGACAAAGTTCTACATTATCTTTGTTATGATACAGTTACTTCAGAGTGTAGTGCGGGTCATCACTTAGTCTAGTTAATTTTATAATTATTATTTTTTGTAATTAATCTTATTTGAAAATATTCGTTCATATTTCAGCCGTATCTCAATTTTTTTTTACTTTATAAAATTAGATTTTATGTGTTACCCTATATTCTTATGTGTAGAATACTCTTAAACATTAGAATAGAGGGCAACATACATAAATTATTATTGTTAAATCGCATTGATAAGAGTTTGAACACTTAAGACAAGGTAAAAAAGTTGAGGTGAAAAGACTATTTTCAAATTATAAATTAACTGCAAAAAATAAAAAAAAGGGGTCTCCCAACAAGCTCTTGTGCATGGACTCCTATATTTTCAATATAATACTTAAATGAGAAGATAAAATAGTAACATATGGTATTGAATAGTGATACAGTACTGGAAAGGATTTGCCGTGGCACCATGGGACGCTTATACAATATACTATGTAAATATTGACACATTCGTGTTTTTATGTTAGCTGAGATCGATAATTATGGAGCTTTTCTTAAAAAGGACTTCGATGTATTTCGTCATTTGTATTATTAAACGACATTTTATGAATATACTAAACAAGGATTTGTATAGTACTATACAAATCCTTGTACTAGACAATAAGATTAATGTATGAAGGAGAACATAAAGATAGCATATCCTAACAATGATTTTGATGCTACTTACTGTATACATTCAAAATACTTGCATTTACTTCTTTGCTCATTTCTTATAATGATAAGAATAATATTCCCTATATCTTTTCATTATACAAAACTTGTATAAAATTTTGTATGTTTTGAATAACATTAAAAATTGCACGTTGTCATCTTTTCTATTTCAATTTAGTTTTTCAGATTTCGTAGACATTTTTTTTTCAATAATACAATCATGCAATTGTGTATTCAAATATTTGATAATAATAATATAATTACTCAAATCAAAATAAGATTAATAAGACAGAGCCTTTAAAAAAAAAGAAAAAAATAACACTTTTTGCATATGTTTCTGCAAGATGTCAACAAAACCACATTACTTTTAAAATTTTGATATAATAGAAATTAATATATTGTTTAAAACCTAACTAGATATTTAAAATGATGGGTGTAATTAGAAAAGAGGTTCACATCATAAAAATGAGAATTCAACTAAATAACAAGACCAACTTGTCTTTGAATACGGCCAATCTTAATTTAATGAATATACATCGTATTCATAAATAATGAAGTTTCACTTTCAAATGCTTAGGGACAACAGTAAACATTATTTTAAAATGACGATTCTTATACCATTTGATAGGAAAATTATTTGCCAATACTGTATAATTTGTTAATTTGATTTACAATAAAAAATGAATTTGATATGATTTTTTATAAAATATGTCAAAGACATGTATACTAAAGAGATTCGCGACTTGTAAATCTCGCTGACTTCACGCGTGTGAACTCGTACCCAGCATCCTCTAATCATATGATAACGAGATTAGCGGTAGTCTAGACAATCGATAAATAATCACTCGGAACATCCTGTTATTTTTCTTTGTATTAAGGAAAAGGGCAAAGACTTTCAGAATTAAAATCAGCTGATAATGATATTGTAAACAAATTCGCAGGTGAATGATAATGACAATGTTCACGTGTAGCATTAATCGGTCTGTTAATTGGGGGGCCCATGATTAGGTGTGTATATTGAAAATTATTACCTTTACAGGAAATTACTGTGTAATGTCAAAGATGTCAGCAAGCGAATTTCCTCCTCTGAAATTAACTTTCATCTCAATATTCATATTTATATTAAAATTGATGCTTGGTGGTTGTTGTCTTATTCACGATGTCCAAGACAGATTTTTTATCATGGGACGACGACTTAGATTTAGATATATTGTTAGGGGAATACACAGATACTGACCCAATTGTAGATAGTGACGACGACTTCGTTCTAGAGACAGTTGTGCACCCCCCAAAAAGAGTCAAGGGAATTGACAAGAGTTTAAGTGCAGATGGAACTGCTGCTGATGGTTACAAATGTCCTGACTGTGACAAGATTCTAAAATCTATCTCTGGGTTCCGTGGACACACTTCAAGACAACATGGAAAACATTTGAAAGGTAAACTTAGGGGGAAAAATAGTTTTTTATATTTCATCTTTTTAGTTAGAAATAAGTTAAAGAAATAAATTATGCTCCAAAAAATGAATGAAAAAGGTTTTTAATTTTTCAAGAAGTTATTATAAATAATGTAAAAGAGAAGGGGGAAAAATATAAAAATGTTTTTAAACCAGATAATACAAATTAATTTTTAAAACACAATTAAAGGGGAAACGTAATTATTTATAAATTTATTTATTTTTCTTGGAAAAAAATATAAAAATCAAGCAACAGTTTTTTTTTTTTATAAATTCTATCTTTTTAAAAAGAAATAAATCATATTTCCCAAAATAACTAAAATAAGTTCAAAATATTATGAAAACATTTAATAGAAAATAATTTTTAAAACACAAAGGGAAAATATATATAATTATTTATATTTAAGTTATTCAATTTTTATATAAAATTCTACAATGAAATAATCTCAGTAAAGACAAAGGATGTATTTAATGCATTAAACTATTGTATATCAAATAAGAACTTACATTTTTAAATATAGCAAAAAAAAGAAATTATTAAATGAGATTAGGAATCTGGTAAATGTGTAACACAGTTTACAATGATCATTTGTATAAAACAGAGGCTTTATATTTTTAATTTGTCATTTTTCTAGTGAATAAATCAAACACTTGACAACAGAAAATAAAAATTATGCGTTTTATACATTTTACTCCAATGGTCGATTGAAATTTTAATGAATATATATATATATATATATGTGCATCCTTCAATCATTGGCAAATTGTGTTCTATAATAAAAGACTGTTCAGTTCAAATGTACCATATTTCCTCATGCAATCAATATTTCTGACCCCTGCTGTCAATATGCATGAAATATTTGCCACTGGAAATCCTCCAATCAATAAATATAAACCAATTTTTAACTTTTTCAGCAACAGACCACAAGGCCAATAAAACAGATGTACTTGTACATGTACAGGAGAAACGGAAAATACACACTCTTCAACTCCCCAGATATCCATAGATGAGATTTTTCCTAATGCATACCAGTCAACATTTAAAGCCCTTGAAGATGACCCAATGATAGCTTTATTTGGATCAACAGATTTTTTGCCCATTCTTCAGGTATCAAAGCATAAGCCAACAATTGAGGAATTCTTTCTTAATGCATTCTGTGCCATATTCAAAGACAATGCAAGCATCACCATTGAAGCTGACAGGGAAACCATTTTTTCATGCTTTCACCGCATACGTTTAGGCGACACTTTACAGACTGGTGGTATCACCCTCTTTCAATCGCTTGGTTTTATGGACTCCTCAGTCATTACAAACTTTATACAGACATTTCTGCTGGAATTGATGAATCAAGTCCTTAAGGAACACTTATCAAAAAAAATGAAGCAAACGCAAGCCTTTGACGACTCTCTTACAGATAATGACCAGAAAATATTGTTTTATATTGCTGGGTTCATCATTCGTGCACTCCATAAGAGATACAATAAACTGAAGGTATCAAGCCTTAAAGAAGAAACGTTATTGTGTGTTCAAGGTTTACAAGATTCATCAGATACCAAGACATTTCTTAGTAAATTTAAATCATGGACAGTTAAGAAGGATCGTGGTGGTCTCAAGCTTCCAACTGATAACTTTTATCTTCTGGTCCGTCACATGGAGATTATTGTAAGACAGAGTGTAAATTTGGATAATTTAAGTGCATCTTCTCTCTGCAAAGACTCGCTAAAAGAAAAGATTATGGATGCATTCATGGTGAAGCACTATGCCTCTCAGCTTTTTCCAGCCAGCGACAATACTTTGTGTATAATGGAGGACATTGTTAATGTTTTTTTAACTGTTCTTTGAAACTGTTCATCGCAGAAAACTTGCTAAAAGTAACAAACAGAATGCCAAAAAGCCTTCCAAGCCTTCAAATAGTTTACGACAAGTGCTAAAACCTAAAGTTACTAATTAAATAAACTTTTATAGTCATATCAATTGATCAACAATTTTATTTATATTAAATATTGACAATCATATATACTAGCTATAAGTTGTGTTGCATGAACTGTTCTGCATTTTCAAACAATGTTAAAGTGGTTGGTGATTGAAAAAGTATTGTTTCTTGTCTAATTAAAACATGTCTATGTTTTAAATTTGTTCATAATTGTATATTTTTGGTGGCAATTTTCTTGTGAACATATGAATAATTCTCAATAAATCAGTAAATATGCATGATTACTGTAAATTCAGATAAAAGTGTAGTTCCTTTCTGTCACTAAGATTATCAGGTTTCATTACATGAAAACTACATTGGAATAATAGCACAAGAATTAAAACAAAAAACCTTGATTACAATGAAAACTTAAATGTCCACTTTTAAACATACATATGAAGATGTATGGTGTTCACCAATGAGACAGCAACCAAACAAATAAAATAATCCAAACATCAAGATTAATCCATAGTGTTCAACGATACAGTAAGATACCAAAAGGACAATTAAATTCACAAATTGAAGATACAATGTACTATACAAAGCCATGGCCCATTTAGTTCTAAATTGTTTACCACTAGTAATTGGGGCCCTGAATTAAAGCTTGTTACAAGTGTAAGCTTATGCTCTATGTTGAAGGTCGTACTGTAATCCTATAATTGCTAATACAACAACCATATTTTGTGATCAAGAATTTTCTCATTGTCATTCATACCCGCTCTTACGTGTCTTATTTTACAATAGCACACCACCATGCTTCCGTCTTCATGAGCAAAACCTATTCAGTCTACAGGGAAGTATTTTGCATAGCTAAAAACAGGTAAAACACACTCACAACTGTAAATAAATTGATCAATTTACTTTTTGATAAGATAGATATACATAAACATACATAGAAAATATATATACATGTATATGAAAACAATACATCATGAGCAGCACCATTTAGAAAAGAAATACAACAGAGTTAAATTATCCGAACCCTTTTACATCACTGATGTACTACAAAATAATATCTTCCAACTTCTCTTTCTTTGGGAGGAGGATTGAAACAGTATTTCAGTATTGCAATATATATTAATGAGTTGAATTGAGACGAGTGGACCAACACCTTCTAACGGATTATGTAGGTAGAGTAATATATATTAATGTTTAATTTCTGACAGTATTGCTCAGATAAGATGTTTGAACATATTATGTACATCATTTGATTAAATACAATATAGTGAATTATATACATTTGTATATACATATTTTCTTTAGCAAAAAACTTTTTAAAAAGGGCATCTGATTTCTCTTCATGACAAAAAATAAAATTTTACCCACCCCCATAGAGGCCTGCCTGAAAAATTTTATTACACAAATTGTTCCAATTTTAAAGTTTTTTTCCTGCATTGTATTCTTATATATCTCAAACATGCAGCAAATGTTGTTGGCCGCTAAAAAAAAAACATTATCTTTCCTACCAAATCTTAAGGATGTTTGCTACTCTGTTTCAAAATAACAAGCTTTTTAAAAGACTGTTATAAATTTATAGTATATAAATAAAGGAACCAAAAAAGCAGAAAAAAATGAAGGGTCCGTGTGCTTGTTTTTGAGATATAAGCCATTGAAAATTTGGCAGGAAATGATTCTCTCTAGACTTTTCATACTTTTAACATTGTCCGCTTTTCTCTTTTAAAAACTATAAAAAATAACAAGGATTTTATAAGATTTTCAAATATGGCTTTTAAAACTATATGAAATAAAATTATGAAAAGAAAAGTAGGGGTTAGTGGACAAAATTATTTAATGGCAACACATGGATAAAACTAGAGGATTCCGAAAATCTGGCAAAAATTCAAAAACAAGAGGAGCAAACATACTTAAAAGCATGGGAAGGTGCCATCAACCAAATTTTTTTTCAGGGTGGCATAAAAAAAAGGGGGGGGGATATTTGGATTCAATGTTAGTCCCTCATTCATGTATTGAACACATGTTGAAGGTTGACAGAGATTTATATGTCTCTGAATATGTATACCTCGTAATTTAACATATCTCAACCAAAAGAGAACCCGACGTTCAACATGATAGGGACAACAGTAAATATCAAGATAAAGTGGATTTTATTACACCATTTCAAAGCTAAAAAATTGGTGAGATCTCTATAATTTATTAATTTTATATGAGATTTATAAAATAGACATAGTATTCGTTTATTTAGCTAGTGGTCATAATTCCCCATAGACAATAACGTTAAAAAAATTTCAATGATTACGGTTCTCTGTGTGGTAGCTGATAAAGCCATCCAGCTGAGCTGTCCGCAATTCTTGTGTATGGCGCCAAACCATAAGAGACTTGACCATTGGTCATTCTAAACACGTGACTACACTTAGTCTTGATGAACTGTACAATACATTATTTTTCTACTATACTACGAAACACAGAAAAATATACTTTCTAAGGGGCATATATAACTCTTTTAAAAATGGTTGATCGAGACTGATTTTTCAAATTTGTCCAAGGCATTGTTGAAATAACCCTTTCATATTAATTTCTTAAATACAATAAATCGCAAGAATTGCACATTTGAGATCACATACAATGCAATTTTCTATCGAATTTACATTTCTTAGGGACATAACTCCTGTAAAAATAATTGATCTGCGCTGATTTTCATACATGTCCTAAATACTGCTGATAAAAATCTTCGATGTGTCTTATCATTCCTAGGTGAAGAGTGCTTACAATTCATTTTTACATATAATTTATATTTCCGTGGGGTATAACTCCTTTAAAAATAGTTATTTGGCACTGATTTTCAAATTGTTCGAGACATTGCTAATATAAACGTGTGATATAAATTAATAAAAAATATAGCAAGAATTGTATACGCGATAGCGCTTATAAGACCGGGTGGACACATTGACCGACAGACGAACAGACGTCAGGTACGTTTATTTCCCCCACAATGTGTCACGCAGGGGACAACAATGAACAACAGACGTTACAGATAGATTGACTTTGTGCAGACTCAAACTGTGTTAGGTTTAACAAGTTTTAAGTGCACACAAACCTCTCCTTTGCCTATTCTGACCATATGTCCTAAAATTCAATCACACGAAGCACAGGCACTGAAAGATACCAACAGGATGACCACTTTAACAGCAAAATAAAAAAAAAGTTCATGATTTCAAAACCAAGATCAAAATGTGATATTTTGTAGAGAACACACTTTTTAGTTTATTTGAGATTGTAATCGAGCAAATTATACCATATCGATATAAGTAAGTAAGTAAATAGTTTATTAAAGTGTCACATATTGATTAACATAAAAATAAGCAACAATATATAAATATATACACATCAAACAATCAATATCCAGCCATACAAACAACTTATACGACACTTATAATATAGAGTATCGATTGTTGGTTGCTTAACGTCCAGTGGCTAATATTTCATGCATGTTCAGGACGATTAGAGAAAATAGTTGGTCGAGTGATCTAAGACGTTTGACGCAGTGCCAGTGGTGTTGCCACGAAGTAGCAGATGCAAGGATATTGAATCCCGCTGAGGGTTATCCGATGGAGAATGTCTGTCATAAAGTTGTCACATGGTTAGATTTATGAAAAAAAATTTATATCAAGCTTTTTGTCAAACATATAATGAAAAGTAAATGGTTCACTTGCTGTTTTTCTAACTACAGGGGAGTGTAGGAGTTCGTGGGTTCGAACCCCGGCCGGTTCAAACCAAAGACTTTATAATCAGTGTTTGCTGCTCCTCCGCTAAGCACGCGTTATTAAGCAGTAAGAGTAAAGACTGGTCAGAATAATGTGTCCGTTTAAGGTGATATGTCTTCCTGTGGACTGTTACCTTGTGAACTAGGACGTTCAAAATTCGGCTTAGTGTGTCGGTCTAGTACAAAGCAGGGTAAATATTTATATCACATTAACATGTCCTCGTCCTGGATATGCATATTAATTTCCCGCTGGACGTTAAGCAGCCGTCCATCACCATCATCAAACTACAGGTTGTGCAAAATTGTCAGATATTATCAGATTATTACATAGTATTTTTCATATCAGAGATATTATCAGCCCAAGGTTAACGAGGGCTGATAATACATCTGATATGAAAAATGACATGTTATAATCTATCTATTTATCACATGCTTCAACAATGGAGAAAAATAACAGTTTAATATATTGATCCTTTAAAGTGGTTCTCAAGTAGAAGTTCAAATCTTTTTGTCATATACTTCAGCAGAAAAAATACATACAAGAACTATTTTAGAACATTAGAAAAATGTATTGTATTGTATCTTTTGTTTTGCATTACTCAAAATATATTTTCCTGTTTCCTAATATTTTATTTTTTTTATTCTATTCTACTTTGTCTGTTTTTTTTTATAATATAACTACAATTTTAAACATATACATGTATATTACAATTACATGTATTCAAAGAGTGAATAGTTTTCGTTTTTCTCTAAAAAAATTCATGTTTTAATATTCAATTAAAACTAATACATATTCCAAAATATTTAATATACAAAGTTTCACCAAATCCTATTTGCTTATCGTAAGAAAGAAACAAGACATGAGAAGCATATCTGTAATGTTAACAATCAAGATGCTTATTATGCACCAGTTTTTTGTTCCAATGCTAAACATATTGAAATTTTATAACAAATACACAGCCTTTCCCCGTGTACTCTTATTTCTATACTTAAAAAATAAGAGATAACTACATGAAGTTGTAGCAATAAATTGTCTAAAACAATTTTTTAAATAAAGATATAAGTTAGAATAAGTGCAGCCGTCACTAATCAATTAAAACAAGTACAAATATAGACCTATTCAAGTACACCTTCATGGTTCAGCTCGAA